AGAAACAGGGTGGCTGAAAATAACAGAAATGTATTCTCTTGGAATTCTGGAGCCTTGAAGTTCAAAGTCAAGGTGTCCAAGAGCCATACTTTTGTTGAAGGTGCAAAGAAAGAACCCTTTCTTGTCTCTTCTGGCTTCTGGTGGCTGCTGACAATCCCTGGTTTCCTAGGCTTATAACTGCATCACTCAGTCTCTGCCTCTGGCCTCACCTGGTCATCTTCCATCCGTGTGTGTCTCTGTGTCTTTTCATTTACAAAGCCCACCTAAATCCAATATGGCCTCCTTCTAACTGAACTAATCTGCAAGGACCTTATTTCTTTTTTCTTTTTTATGGGGGGAGGGAGGGCTCTAGCTCTGAAGCTGTGACCACTCTTTTTTTTTTAATTAAATCATAGCTGTGTACATTAATGCAATCATGGGGTGCAGTGTGGTGTTTTCATATACAATCTGAAATATTTTCATCAAACTGGTTAACATAGCCTTCATGTCATTTTCTTAGTTACTGTGTTCAGACATTTATATTCTACTTTTAGAAAGAATCACTTGTACCCTTGTAAGATAAACCATAGAGGTGATCCCACCAATCACCCTCCCTCCACCCATCCACCCCCCAACGACCTTATTTCTAAAAGGGTTGCATTCTGAGGTTCCAGCTGGGCATGAATGTGAAAGGGCATGTAGTTCATGTACCAGTGACTGTTCTTCCACAAGAAAAAGTGATCTTACTGTAAGCTGTATGCTGTTTGGTGCACAATGGAGGTTGCAAACACCACCACTTCCACCAGGGTAAGAAGCCTCAGACAGGACCAAATGGCCAATACTCAGGGAAAATTAATATGAATGGATACAGTAAAAGCAACCTCCAATGACTGAGACCTTGGAGATGAGAAGATTTGATTGGACTGGACCAGAGCAGATTGTAAAGATTATTAAGGATGCTGGACTAGAAGTCAAAGGTCTAGAATTCAACCCTAGGTAAGCTCCTTTCCAAAGACAGGGGTTTGGGCAACAATTCAGAATCTGGGACTTTAGCTTCCCCTCTGCAGAGGCAGTGTGACATAGGGATTAGTATCACAGTCTCCGGAGCAAGCCTACCTTGGTTCTGCAAACTTGGGCAAGTGAACTGACCTCTCTGGTCCCCAGTTCCTTCATCTGTACGATGGGGTTGAAAACAGTATTATACTTACACTCTCAGGGTTCTTATGAGAATTAAATGACTCTCATAAAGCACTTTTAATAGTATCTAGCATGTAATAAGTGCTGTGAAAATGTTTGATATCATACTGCCATTATGAAATCAAAGAGTTGGATTAAATCTCTCAAGTTTGTCCCAGGGCGAGCATACCATGACCCCACATGGGCTGACTTCATGGGTGCTCTGCAGAGCCTGATATTTAACGAAAATGCTGAGACTTTGAGACATACCTAGTCCCTAAAACAAAAATCCTAGATTGTTTCTATAAGTCTATGCTCCTAGCTATAGGGCATCAGCCCTGTTTAAATAGGCCAGGCCTCCAGCGAGTAGACACTGTTTACCTCCATGATGCCAGGGCCCTTCCAGGGCTGATTTGATTTCCTCAGCAGGTGTATTGGACATGGGGAATCAGTTGAACTGCTTTTTGTTCTCCCTGAGCCAAAATCAAGTCTTGACAATAACCATGACTTCAGACAGTTTCCTCTCCGCCAGGTTCCTTTATTCAACCTTAGAAGTGTAACTGGACTGGAACATAATAGGTTTTCAGTTATTATGAGAGACATAGGGTAAGAAAGAGAGGCTCATGCTGAGTGTGAGCACCGCGACACCTGCACAGAACCTGCCCGGAGAGAACAGGCAGAGAGGGGCAAACCAGCGGGGACGCCCGTCTCTCCTGCTCCCAAAGTGAGTCAAGGTGAAAAGATCCATTCAGGACCTATTCGAAGGGCAGGTGCGAGCTATTTGCAGATGTCATTAAAAATGAAAAATATATAAAAAAGGCTTGATCTCTGTTCTCTATCAAGACATTTCCTTAACCGAAATCAAGATAGCACTGAGAAGTTGTGAAGCTACGATGTAAAAAGGAGCCCAAGGAGGATGATAGTTTCATAATTGTTGAGCCATTAGTAATTTCCAGGCACTGTGCTGAGGACTTCACAAGCAATATCTCATATGGACCTCTCCATAATCTTATGAGAAAAGGTCCCTTTTCAGCCCTTTTAGACATGAGAAATTATCCAAAGACACCATACAGCTGCTTAGCAGTGCAGCTTGAATTCAAACCAAGATTCCAGTTCAGAACTTGAATGTTTTTTTTTCTTTTTACAATATAAAAGTATGAGTTTATTTTATATTAGAGAAAGGAAAGAAAGTGGGGGAAGGAGAAGAGAGTGGAGAATAGTGAGGAAGAGAAGGGAAGACAGAGGCAATAGAGAGAAAAGGAGAGAATAGTGTGGCAACCTAAAGAAAGGAAAAACACCTGCCCTAGACCCAGAATGCTTAATGACTGCGTAGGAGCCCTATGTGCTTAGGCCAGTCTACCCCAGTGATTAGCAGCCTCCTGCCCCAGTCCTTGCCTTACAGGTAGAAAAGGAAAGGAAGTTATATTGCATCTCATAAGGAAAGGGACAGTCTCCCAAATCTGGGTTCAGGGAAGCAGGGTGAAGGGGTTGGTAGTGGCCTCAATTCATAGACACACTTAAATAAGACTCCAGTCCTGTTCTGTGTCCAGCCGTGGGGCCATCTTCCAGGCTGTGCACTCAGCATCACAGCAGCATGGACCCATGCCCCGTCCCTAAAGCTGGCCCTGTCAGGGATGATGGATATTTAAATAAGATGTTTGTGGATGTGCTCTTTGATTTTTCTCCAGGAAAATGTCTAGTTTGGGGGGAGGAAATAAATAATAAAACCATACTAAAACAACAAATCAATCACCAAGGAGAAATACAATGGACTCCTAAATTTAGGCCTGGGAAACAGAAATACCGTAAGTCACTGAGAGATCTGGTTTCAAGGGAAGCATCATTCACTCCGAAGATGAGTAACAAACACGTAAATGGTTTAAAAGAGACGACGGTGTTCGGCCATCCCAAATTTAGACTCGGTTCATATTTAGAAGGCAAATGGCAATCGTCATGTTTTATTACCACTCAAGCTTGAGGATATAGAGATTTTCTAGCAGTTCTAAGATTGGTTGCGGCTGGAGGTCTATCTCAGGCTAGGGTTTGCTGTCTGGAAACCGGTGTGGATTACCAGATAAGGCAGAGCAAAGGAGGAGTCGTGATCTAGAAAGGTATCCTCAGGGGTCATTACACCACACGATCATTCAGCTGATGCCTGTAGATAACCCCTGAATGGTCAGTGTCTGCTCACAAGCAGGGCACACTAATGACAGGCCTGCAAAATACTCACTGAGGATGTTCCTCCAATCCAGCAGTTCTCAACCTGTGGGTCATGACCCACAGGAACTGTATTAAAGGGCGGCAGGATTAGGAAGGTTGAGAACCACTGCTTTAATCCTTCTGATGGCCATCTCCCTTCCAGCCTGTCTGCCTTCTACTTCCAACCTCTACCAGAAGGTCAAATTCAACTCATTCTATCTTGAAGGTTATTGAGTGAGAAACTTACACCAAAATTTTTAATTTACCCAGCCCCAAACAACTCTAAACTTGAACTTGGAACAAAGTCATCCATCAGGGCTTTTCTAATTAAATTGGCATAAATTAAGGCTTAACGTCAAAAACAGAATCTGGTCACCAAAATCCCAAACACAGACGACACCAAATACTCCTTGTGTGTGACCTCCACATCTTGTTGACCTGTACAAAGGGATTTTTGTTCAGCTAAAATTTATTCCCTAACAAAAAATAGGACAAAGTTCTCTGTGTCAAATCTGCATAGCTTTCTGAGAAAATAGGAATGAAAGCCCTATTTGTGGACTCTTCATCCAGTAACTTCTGGGACTGATCTGAGGCTCGAAAGCAAGAGAACAAAGAGAAGGAAGTTTCCACCCAGAAACTCTCATCTAGTGAAGTTTGTAGACATTTTTGAACAGCTCTTGGGTAACAGAGTTGTGCACTTGCTCTGTCTTGAAGTCAAATCTGCCTGACTTCTATCACTCAGAGCAGAGCTCAGAGTGGTGTCCCATGCTGTATGATCAGAGCCACCTGGAGGTGGTTCAAAATCAAGGTCTCAGGCCTCCCTCCAGATTTACAGAATCAGAAACTCTAAGGATGGAGCCCAGCAATCTGCATTTTCCAGATACCAATCTTCCAAACGATCCCATCGTGTGTCAGCATCTTAAAGCTATTATACTATACAAGACGTACCTTTAAACCAATCTCTAAAGACAACTGGAGAAAAAACTCACTTTATTTTGAAATCAAAGAAAGGGAGATGAGAAAAGATTGTGTTTGAGTGGGGTACAGCCAAGAATATCTACCTATTAGAGAGGAAGAAAAGGAGAGATGTATTTGATGTAGTGCTATGAGTCATGTTGGCAGAAAAATGGGCTTTTTCCCTGGTAAAGACATGTCATTAAACAAATAGGATAAATAGTAGACATCTACTTTCTAAGAAAAGAAAAAAAAAAAAAAAAACAAGACTAAAGCCAGGGTTATTTTCTGTTTTAATAAGCTTGCTAGTTATCAATGATGTTGCTAGTTGATTTCATGAACTTATCTACCCAAACATCCTGCTTGCAATTCTAATTTCTGAGGAAATCTTACATTTCCTCAGGAAGAATATATTAATAAAACTATATCTGACTTGTCACTGAGATTATTACCATAAAATGCACTGTTAAATCTGTGAGAGTTTAGGCATTAATCTACTGCCTGACTCAAGCTTTATTATTCTAAAACATTTTGAACTTCAGCTTTTGTTTCCAGTCCCACTTGCCCGGAACAGATTTCACTGGGTGACTTATATAGAAAAATACTGAGCTATTATCCTTTAGAATAAGATTGCTAATTCATGAGTACTGTGGAGTCCGTGAACAATGAGCAACAGAAGCTAACACAACCCATCACGTTAAAATTAGACTTTATTACATTTTTGGTCACTTAGTTTGCTTATAGTTTATAATCTCACAGGAAAAAAAAAAATAAGTTGACCTCAAAGAAGTTGCGGTTGATTTTGTCCCAGTCCGCATCTGTCCACTTCAAATGCTATAAACATTCTCTGGCACACGATATTTTCTTTTAAGGTTTACTAGAATGAATTGAGAACTTACTCATTCCTTTCTAAAAAGAATGATTTTTATCACGATGTTGGCAACTACAACCAAAATTTCAATTAAGGACAGCTTGGCCTTTTTTTAATATCTCCAAAACCAAAATCACATTATAAAATTAATACGCTAAGGAACTAAAAGACACACACTTCATCAAGGGGAAAAAAATACTTCACTGAGAAATCATTAGAGATGACAACAGAGGAAACAAAGTAAGGCCGTATAAAATGATCTCTGAAGGATTTTGAGGATGCTAACTTATATTTTAATATTTTGTTCATATATAGCCAAGAGTAGGAGAGAAAGCCAACCTAGGGTCAGTCCGAAGTTCTGCAGGAGAAACATCATCCAGGGTCGTTGTGTCTGAACATGAGTCATTTCAGGAAGCTAAAAAAAGAATAAAAAACCAGAATAAGATCCAGATATATTCAACTGCTGGGAAAAGCTCGGTGGGAAAACATGAGAGACTCTGTTATTCAGAACTTAATAACCTTTAGAATTCCCAGTTACTAAATGCTTAATACTTAGTCTACCACAATTTTGAAACGTAAGCTAAATTGGGCCGTTTGATTGTGGTTATAAGGATCCCAATATTGGCAAAAGTCTTAGAATGACATAGTTATCAACCAAAATCAAATCCAACTCTTAAACTTTTATTATCAGAAAATGGATAATACATAAAAAGTGTTATTTTTGACTGTATAATTAATTGGGTTTACAAAACTGGTAAATGCCTATGTTAGTGTAAAGCATATGGATATATAGACCTAACCAAGCATATTTAGATAGATCAGCAGTTCTCAACCTATGGGTCACAACCCACAGGGACTATATTAAAGGGCCGCAGCATTAGGAAGGTTGAGAACCATTGAGATGGATGGATGACCAACCTCTTCCTGATCTTCAGAATATGGAGTATCATGTGCTATGGCTACATTTATTTTCAGAGAAACATTCATGAAGTGCCGTAACACTATACAGAGGGAGATGTCACCCAAGCATCTTTTTGGCTATTATTTTGAACCCTGAGATGCTGAGAATGAGTATACCCCTTCCATAATATTATTGTTTCTACTAAAGCACAGACTTAGGTCAACATGAATTGATAATTTAACTTCCTCTTGGCATTAGCAACATTTTGGATCAGATAGTTCTTTGTTGTGGGGCCTCTTCTGTCCACTATAGGTGGTTTAGCAGAATCCCTGGGCTTCTCCTAGATCCTGGTGTGCCTCTGCACTTATTCATGATAACCAAAAATGCCCTCAGACATTATAGGGGCAAATGTTGCCTAGGGGATAAAAATCACCTCAATGGAGAGCTACTAGATTATTTTAACTGTCAAGTATAAAATCAAACACATAAAACACTTGAGGGCTTTAGATTTATGGCAATGGAAAGCAGGTTGACACATTTTTAATGGTCTGTAAAGAAGCATCCTAAACGTTCAGTTTGGGTGTGCTTGAGATGGGTATTTCCTCCTTTAATTAGTGAAGTTCAATGGGGTGAGGATTTGGATTACTGTGACCTAGTCTCTCACACCCGGCATGAAGCAGTGAACTGACAGACCAAGGTGGAACCCAGAACTGTTCTCCTGATGGGTGGTTTTAAACAAATCCCATGCCCTTTTGGTATTTTGTGAGCCATGTTTTAAATTTGTTCCTTTAGAGAAATTCCGTATGAGTTATCAATTACTATACATTTAAAATGACATTTGGGAAAAAACCTATAGAATGTAGATAAACATAATTCAGTTTCTAACTATGTAATAAAGAGACTTAACAAAAAGAAGTTGAAACATTTGATTTTATATTTTATATATTATATATATTTCATTATGTTTAATGTTTAAATGAGATGTAATTAGAGTAAGTTGATTGGATGATTAACGATGGGTTTATGATAAACTTTCTCCCATTTCTTCCTAGTAAGTGAATGAACATCTATCATTCTATTAATAAGACTATTTTGGTATCTAATGCCAATGTCCACAGCAGACCTGGTAGCATGCTAGCTTGCTGTGTCTCAAAAACCTTGCATGTGATGGTACTCTTGCATGAAAGATAAATGCATTGGAGTTTCCCAATACCTTTGATTCTCAGTAGTTTTCACCAATTTTTAATAGTTTACTTCAAGGCCAGGAAGCATAGGCAACCACTTTCTTTTGTCCTGGTAAGCTATACCTCAGACTGTATCTGTGAGACCCAGTTATACTATCTGTGGTCATTTACACATTCAAACTTTGATTACATATTTCCAAATACCGGATAAGGCATTCTCCTTATTATAGTTCCCTCTTCTCATCTTTTGAACAAGATAGTTAATTCCCAATTACAAGGCTGGATGTGGTGGCTCACACCTGTAATCCTAGCACTCTGGGAGGCCAAGGTGGATGGATTGCTTAAGCTCAGGAGGTCAAAACCAGCCTAAGCCAGAGCCAGATCCCATCTCTAAAACTACCCAGGCACTGTGGAAAGCATCTATAGTCCCAGCTACTCGGGAGCCTGAGGCAAGAGAATCACTTGAGCCCAAGAGTTTGAGGTTGCTGTGAGCTACGACACCACAGAACACCACAAAGTAATACTCTATCTCAAAAAAAAAAGAAAAGAAAAGAGAAAGAAAAAAAAGAAAAAAAGACCAATTATGAGATGTGGCTGAATTAACAGCATGTCCTATCTCTGCTGTTCCTCCTGCTGCCCAGCTGTGGTTTATCTTTGATAAAACACAAAGAAGTAATTTCTAGAAAGATTTTCTTGGCAAAGGCTTATAAACTATGGGTCATTTACTGAACCAGCATGCCTGTTTTGAGTCAATTATTGTGAAGCAAAAATATTTCCAACAAGAATTAGAAGCATGGAGGTGAACGTGCTTCTGATTCAAGAGGTAGAACGTGCAACGAATTTTCAAGTCCTTGATGGCTTAAGGAACCTACATTTTAGAAAGCTCATTTGCGAATTTCCATCTTTGCCTTGAACTTCCATTCATGGCCGTTGGTTGGGGAGAGCAGATCCTTGACTAAGGTAGATTTAATACCCAAAACATTTTAGATACAAAAACACAGAGCTAGAGTTAGTGTCTTGAGAATTACAGCACTAAATTATAGCACTTTAGTATATTTCTGTTCTTACTAAATCCAAAAATGCCCTAAGTTTTAAAAACAATTGTCCCATCTGTAATTTTTCTCACTAGCCTGAGCTTATAGACCCATGGCTTGTTCAGAGTGTCTAACACACACAGAACTGGAGATACCTGTTTCTAAGGGCCCATGACTTTACTCCTAGGTTGAAAATCAAAAACCCCTTATTCCCGAATATAGATGGTATCACCCACAAGAAATCACCAGGAGTGTTTTGCAACTCCAAAAGCAAAATTCATATGGAATGCAATGCCTTTGGTAGTGGTATCCAGCAGGCTGCAGCTTTTATTTTGTTATTATTCAAAGAATTTGCTCTACTATGACTCGCCATCCATTAGGCTGTGTCCTCCAGCAGAGGATCTGTCTCTCCAGGTCTTTGGCTACAAAGACGTAGGCATCACTTTAATTATATGCTTTTCATTTGCATTCATTTATCGTGCCGTTTCTTATATGTTTCCCTCCTTTTACTCCTCATAATCCTGTAAGCAATAAAATGACTAATTCCTTTTAGTTATGAGGAAACTTTGGCTCAGGGAGGATAATGGCTCACCCACGGTCACATAGGTGCGATGTCAGAGCAAGGATAAGAAAGCAGGTAGCTCTCTATCTGAAATCCATCCTTGCCTATTATGACCAAGATCTTTTATTTAATTAGGAGAAAAAAAAAGGAAAATGCCCTGTGATGGGTGGATCGCTAAAGCTCAGGAGTTCAAGACCAGCCTGAACAAGAGTGAGACCCCTGTGTCACTATTAAATAGAAAAAAAAATAGCCAGGTACTTGTAGTCCCAGTTACTTGGGAGGCTGAAGCAGGAGGATCACTAGAGCCCAGGAGTTTGAGGTTGGTGTGAGCTGTGACATCACTGTGAGCTGTGATAGATGGAGACTGTCTCAAAAAAAAAAAAAAAAAAAAAAAGGAAAAGGAAAATGCTGATGCTAAAGGTTTTTTTTCTTTTTTTGAGATAGAATTTTTACTCTGTCTTTGTGGTCAGAGTGCCATGGTGTCAACAGAGCTCACAGCAAACTCAAACTCTTGGGTTCAAACGATCCTCCTGCCTCAGCCTCCTGAGTAGCTGGGACTACAGACACCCACCACCACGCCTGGCTAGTTTTTCTAAATTTAGTAGAGATGGGGTCTCATTCTTGATCAGACTGATATTAAACTCCTGAGCTCAAGCAATTCACTTGCTGTGGCCTCCCCGAGTGCTAGGATTACAGGCATGAGCCAAAGAGCCTCACTAAAAATTTTCAATGAGCCATAAAATTGTCAGGTGATAAAACTATGATGAACTATGTAATACAGTATATAGACATCACACTGCCTTTGTCATAAAAGATCATGGCAAAGCAGACAACATGCGTCTGAAAAAACGCTGTAAAAACTAACTTTATAAGGCGATGGATATGTACGATCAATGCAAACCAATATTTCAAAAAAGTTCAAGAAGATTTTCATCCCCAAATGGAAGTTTGTAGTCTGAGTTGCCTATCTGAACTTCCCAGATCCACATGTAAATCGACTTGGTAAGAAAACCCAACTAAACATACTTTTGAGACAATACTTGGTACTTTTTAGCAGGATTATGGGTGAACAGAGGAACCATATCTCAAGGATACACCAAAAAATACCCAAGTGCTACAGAAAGTCTTTCTAAAAGATATAAATATTAAGCTCAAACCATATCTGATGATAGCGTCTCATCTTCTCTCCAACTATCCATATATGTTCCTATCATTTCAATCAGTAAATTCTGAAGGAATGTAAAAGTCCATATGAATTAATTTCTAAGCATATATCTTTCCTTTTATCTCGTCGGGGATATTAAAGTCTTGTTAAGGGTTTAACTGATGCCAGTTTCCCCCTTGCATTTCAAGAGAGGAAAAAAAAAATCCTCTTTTCCTCCAGGGCCGTTAAATTCTGTTATTGAACAGTTTTACAGATCTTGATTTATGGCCTAAGACTAGAGGAGCTGAAATGATGGATAGAGTATATTAATGCTGAAGCAGAGACAGAGAAAAGAGAAAAAACTTTGAGCAAAAGAGATTTGCCCAGAGGTAGCGTTAAGAGAAATGTTCTTTAGATTTCTGCCACAAAATTTGGAAACCTTGAAGTAGAAAAGTAACTTCCTTTTTTATCACCATGTTTAGCAAGTTTCCCAACTCAAGGCAGTGGATGATCGTAAAATAGTTGCAGTTTTCTGGGGGAAAAAAAATAACTTTACCTAAAATGCTGCCCTTTCATCTGCCATGACTAAT